CAGTCGACTTGGCGCCGTCAGATGTGCGGATCTGGTCGAGGACGGAGATGGAATCGGCACCGGCATCGGCGGAGACGGGGTCAGCCTTCTGGCCGGGGCTGAAGTTGTCACGGATGGTGTGAGAAACAGCACGACCGAAAACGATAAGGTCGAGTAGGGAGTTGGCACCGAGACGGTTGGCTCCGTGGACAGAGACAGAGGCAGCCTCTCCGCAAGCGAACAGACCTGGGACGACCTGGTCGTTACCCTGAGCGTCTTGGGTGATGACCTCACCAGTGTACTTGGTGGGGATACCACCCATGTTGTAGTGCACGGTAGGAAGAACAGGGATGGGCTGCTTGGTGACATCGACACCAGCAAAAATGGCGGCAGTCTCAGAGATACCAGGTAGACGCTCGTGAAGGACCTCGGCGGGCAGATGGCTCAGCTGAAGGTAGATGTGGTCCTTCTCCGGTCCGACACCACGGCCCTCACGGATTTCCAGGGTCATAGATCGGGATACGACATCGCGGGAGGCAAGATCCTTGGCAGTGGGTGCGTAACGCTCCATGAACCGTTCACCCTCGGAGTTGAGAAGGTAACCACCCTCTCCACGGGACCCTTCAGTGATCAAGCAGCCAGCGCCGTAGATACCAGTGGGGTGGAACTGGACGAATTCTAGATCCTGGTTGGGAAGACCTGCGCGAGCAACCATAGCCATACCGTCACCAGTGCAGGTGTGGGCGGATGTGCAGCTGAAGTAGGCACGTCCGTAACCACCAGTGGCCAAGACAGTGTTCTTTGCGATGAACCGGTGGATGGTTCCGTCTTCCTGGTTGTATGCGACAACACCCTTGCAGACGCCGTCCTCCATGATCAGATCAGTGGCGAAGAACTCGATGAAGTACTTGGTGTTGTGTCGTAGCGATTGTCCGTAGAGAGTGTGGAGGAGAGCGTGACCAGTACGGTCGGCAGCAGCACAGCATCGGTATGCTTGGCCACCCTTGCCGTACTTCTGCGACTGTCCACCGAAAGCACGCTGGTAGCTGGATGATGTTAGTACTCTGCACAAATTAGAGCTGGGTTGACCCTACATCTTGCCATCGTCAGTTCGCGAGAAGGGGCAGCCATAGTTCTCAAGTTCGATGACGGATTGAGGCGCCTCTCTTGTCATGTAGTGAATAGCGTCTTGGTCACCAAGCCAATCTGATCCCTTGACTGTGTCGTACATATGCCACCGCCAGTCGTCCTCGTGCATGCTACACATATCCGTCAGCTGCTGTTATACCCATCCCATGTTTGTCCAGTCCACCTACTTTCCGAGCGCGGCGTTGATACCACCCTGTGCTGCGACTGTGTGCGATCGAGTGGGGAAAAGCTTGGATATACAGGCTGTGTTGAAACCAGCTTCAGCGAGACCGAATGCCGCGCGGAGACCAGCTCCTCCAGCGCCGACAACAATGGCATCGTATTCGTGGTCGATGACGGGGTATTTGCTCGAGATGAAGCCTGACGCTTCCTTCGCCCTCAGGTTCTCGGTAGCGAATATGCGCTGCGCTGGCCGGGTGGAAGAGAAGGCTCGTGTAGTTGGGCGGAAGCTCCTCGCGAGCTATGAGGCGAACATTAGCCATTGAACAGTCAAGACTCGTAAGAAGACGTGGAAGACCCAAGGGCATTGTCCCGCACTGCGAAAGTGTCGTGCCGACATGCGACGTTCTGCCAACGCCATGTGGGATGTGGCACACGCCTCGGTGCGGCGGATGCCGGGCTTGTCGACCGTCGACTGCGACTGCGTGGTGTGGGAGGGCTGTCAAAACTCACCTGGCTTGCAAGCTGCGTACGACGCATCCTGAGACAACTCATTTTGGCGGTAGCCGAAGAGCGGAGAGTATACGACGGGAGTGCGAAAGGTCCTGGTGGATTTGAAGTTGGAGGTCAATGATGGCAGTTGCGACCGACGGCGTTACTTACCAACTAAAATCGGAGCGCGCTAATTGGGTCGGTAGGCCTCGGCTGCATTGCCTCCCAAGTACCTGCCCTTCATTCCGGCTTTTCTTCTTGATGAACGTGATGCATCTTTGCCTCTATTGCAAGGTCACGCATGCCATATAGGCTATCAACATAGAGGCTATTGATCTGATTGCACTTTGCGCTGCAAGAACCTTCGCGGTTATAGACATGATTCTAGCTAACAAACTCATCCTACACAAAATCGTTACATGCTTGACACCCAACTTTCGGCTTTGGACGTTCGGAACAATAATGGTACTTGCGAAGCACATGGCAACTGCTGTCACTTGAGCTGACTCATGCACCTTGTCTGGGCCGACAGTTGTTGCCGCTGGCGCTCAAGATGTCGAGCCTCATTCGTCGTCGTCATAGACCTTCTCACACGATCACAACGCTGTTCCCCAGTCGTTGTACCAGGGAATTTTCTCCGCACGTTACGTTGCTAATATAGGTGTCGCTACTACCGTTAGTATACCGTTCCTTTTTACTCCAAGACCCTTTTTGTCAACCGCATCAACGTCTGGATTGCGCATATGCATACAAACTTCTTGAACCCTAGTGCACATGGGGTGACACTCGCAGTTCGACATCGTGTCGGCTTTATTATACCACCTCGTACAAGGGAAGAAAATCAACATGTACCCTTAGAAGTCTGCATTGCCGTAGGGAATATATATATATATATATTTCAACTTTTATACTGATGTAGACGGCAGAGCACCTGTTCATAATCGTTTCCATGTTTTTGATGCCCTCACCGCATAGCGCAACATTTCGCTGGGCAGGACTCTCACTACCGAACGAAGTCGCACACGGGCACGTACCGTGACTAAATTCCAGCGAGCGCCTCACACAAGAAAACTGACTAGGTCTGGAGCCTACATCAGCGTTAGATCTCCTGCTTTGCACGTTTTCATGTTGATGTAGACTGCAGACCTGTTTAATCTTTTCCTAGGTTAACCAGCGAGTGCCACTAAGACAGACGGTTTTCACGCATCACACATTGATAACACATGTTTGAATTGGGGAATCGTTGAATTTTTTGTTCAATCGCTCATGACTGGCATCCATATAGTAAACCTATCCTCTGCGCCCAAGCCCGTGAGAAGAAAGCATGCACTCCGTAGCACCATCTCGAGACTTCTAGGACGAAGTCTGGAGGTCCTTCTTGAGGACACCCTCGTATTGCCTCTTCTCCGCCGGTGTCTGGTAAGCACCGTGACCGAACTTGGAAGAGGTGTCGATCCACTTGAGCTCGACCTTCTCCAGCGCCCTCCTGCTGGTGTGGGTGAACATGGACTTGCGCAGGGTCATGACGCGCTTCTTGACACCAGGGCAGTTACCCTTGAGGAGGAGGAAGTCATTCTTAACCTCACCGTAGCGGACGAAGCCACCCATTCTGATTTGTGTTAGTAGTAATTACCGGCCAGTGTGACATGTGACTTACGGTGTGATGCGCTTCTTGGAGACGTCGAACTCGGTGGAGGCGTTACCCTCATCCTCGCCCTTGCCGAGACGGTAGATCTTGTGGTTGACAGAGGTACGGTGGTGGTAACCCATCTGACCAGCACGGGCAACAGTCCATTGGACGTGGGCCGGGTGCCAGGCACCGATACAGGCGACCTTGCGGAGACCCTTGTGTGTCTTACGCGGGAGCTTCTTGGTGCCCCATCGGGAGGTGACACCGTTGTATCCGTGACCCTTGGTGACGGCGATAACGTCGATCATCTCGTTGTCCTCGAAGATGGAGCCGATCTCGATGGGCTTCTCGAACAGGCCGTGGGCGTATGAGACCTTGTCGGCGATGCTGCCACCGTTGACCTGGATCTCCATGAGATGGGCCTTCTTCTGCTTGAGCGGGGTCTTGTGGATCTGGGTGTGGGCGAGAACGCGGATGACGGTGCAGTACTTCTTCATGCGCTCGAGCTCCTTGGTGATGGACTGGCCATTCTCCTCGGAGTGCTTCTTGGCGTACTTGGTGAAGGCCTTCTTCTTGCTCTTGTACCAGTTGCGGTAGAAGCGGCGCTTGACCTCGTCGCTCAAGTGCTCAGCCCAGACGGTGGTGAGCGAGCGGAGACCACGGGGAGTCTCGATGTAGCCGACAAGACCGACAGCGATCATCTGCGGCTGTGTCAGTAGTGCGCCAAAATCGCTCGGAATTGGCTATGCGTACGGGAGGAGTCTCGATGACGGTGCAGGCCTCGACAATCTCCTTCTTGTGCAGCTTGGCACCTGGTCGGTCGAGATCGCGGACGATTGTGGTCATACCGGCCTTGTAGCCCATGGCGGCCGTCAGGTGGACGGGCTTCTTGGGGTCATCCTTAGGGAAGCTGGCAATTGCAGTGAGCAGGCTGTCCGACAGTGGGCGGTGGTGACATGGAAATTTACCTCTTCACCTTACCCCGGTGACGGGCGGCGCGCTTTCGCGGCAAGAATGCCAGAGACCCGTGGCGGGGGGCTTCGAACTTCCTGTGCGACATGGTTCGATTCCTGTGGTTAGTTGGAGGAGTTGGAGGAGTCGTCAAGGAAAAGTCCTCTTGAATATTGAGGTTGACGGAGGAAAGTGCGAGCGGACGGCGCTAGTACAAGTTAGCGCGCCTTCCGACCTTGCTTGCCAAGACACGTCCACGGATCGCAGTTGCCCCACGTTAGAGGCAGTGAAGGTAGCAACAACACACTTGATCTCTGTAACGTGCGCTGTTGCCCCCTACGTCGTCGCCTGCCCTCGTCATTCCGCCGCCGACTCGATCCCGCCGGAGCTTCAACGATCAGCCCGCCCAACCGCCAACCCCGCCATCGGCCACGGCCAGCAGACACCGCTCCCACTACATCATTCCCAGCACTCACTCACCCACCACCCTCGACCTTGGCGGCGCTATCTCACCCGGGCCCCACGACAAGCTCAACAGCTCGCACACTGAACACCCATAGTACATTGCGTACGAACACAACAGAGCACTCGCTACCCTTGATCGCACGCCGCTGGTGTCCCGCAATCCTTGTCCAGAATCATGGTAGAAGCCGAAGGCAATCCCACGACGTGGAAATTCACCCAGTACGTACCGCATGCTACACATCTCCTTTAGGCCCCTCAGATCAGCTCGGTTGCTACTGTGCTTGCCACTAGCTCAAATCGCACTGGAAACGCCACTGACTGGAGCAGGTGCTTCGGCGACAAAGGCGATGTTGAAGACATAACCGAAGGTACGTACCGTTTCTTACCGTTGCGCTCTCTGTACATTCATTAATGCCTGCATGCAATTGCTGACAGCGAGCGCAGCCGACATCATCTCAACCGTCGAGTTCGACCAGACGGGCAACTACCTTGCAACCGGTGACAAGGGCGGTCGTGTGGTTTTGTTCGAGAGGAACGAGACGGTATGCACTTCTCTGCTATGACCTCGCGCTGGTTCAAGACTGACAAGATGCAGAAAAAAACCTGCGAATACAAGTTCCACACCGAGTTCCAATCGCACGAGCCTGAATTCGATTACCTGAAATCTCTCGAGATCGAAGAGAAGATCAACAAGATCAAGTGGTGCCGCCGGCAAAACGCTTCACACTATCTGCTCTCCACAAACGACAAGACAATCAAGCTATGGAAGGTATTTGAAAAGTCGCTGAAAGTGGTGGCGGAGAACAACCTGTCACACGAGTTGACACCTGGAGGTGGGGTTGCTGGTGGAGGCGGTCCCGTTAGGAACCCGAATGCACAGTTCCGCAGCGCCACCGATCTGAAGCTCCCACGGCTCACACATCACGACACAGTTGTCGCCGCAGTACCGCGAAAGACGTATGCCAACGCACACGCCTACCACATCAACAGCATATCAGTCAACAGCGATGGCGAAACGTTCATTAGTAGCGATGATTTGCGAATCAACCTCTGGAACCTGAACATCCAAGACCAGAGCTTCAACATCGTCGACATCAAGCCCGCCAATATGGAGGAGCTGACGGAGGTCATCACTGCTGCCGAGTTTCACCCTATCAGCTGCAACTGGTTCATGTATGCAAGCTCTAAGGGTACCATCAAGCTGGCCGACATGCGCGAGAGTGCTCTGTGCGACCAGCATGCAAAGCGTAAGTCGTCCGTCTTTTCCACCTCAGCTAATACTAACCTTGCTCCACAGAGTTCGAGCAAGAAGAAGATCCATCTTCGCGATCGTTCTTCTCTGAGATCATCTCATCCATCTCCGACGTCCGGTTTTCACACGATGGAAGATACATTCTGTCACGCGACTACTTGACTGTCAAGATCTGGGACGTAAACATGGAAAAGACTCCGGTCAAGACCATCCCAATCCATGAACATCTACGACCGAGACTCTGCGACACCTACGAGAACGACAGCATTTTCGACAAGTTTGAGGTTGTTTTCTCTGGGGATGCGAAGAATGTCATGACTGGTAGCTACAACAACAACTTCATGATATACCCGTCCGATAACGACAAAGACACCGAGGTAGTTTTGCAGGCCGACAAGTCTGCATTCAAGGCGAAGAAGGTTGGTATCCCAACACCCATGAACTCGTCGACAAGCCCGACAGGCAGCAACACAAGTAAGAAAGGTGGCTCAAGGGCCGGCAGCCCTGCTGCTGGTGCAGTCGGACAGGGCCAACGCATGAGGAAGGAGACGGACGCAGATCAGATCGACTTCAACAAGAAGATCTTACATATGAGCTGGCATCCATTCGAAGACAGCATCGCTATAGCAGCAACAAACAACGTAAGCAGGCTGATTCTCTTCACATGATCCAAGTCTAACATCCTACAGCTTTTCGTCTTCTCCGCATTGTAGGGGTATCCTTGATTCGCGAACATCGCCACAGAATACATGTATACAGGAGCATCAGCTTGTTGGGTTTCTGGTCATCTTTACTCTTCCATCTTCCTTTCAATGTTGGCAGCAGCCTGCCAGGCGGCGCTAGGATGATAGAACAGGAGCATTCTTGGCGAATCGGCGTGGGAATGCAGATGAGGAACGACGCAATGTGGTTTAACGATCGGGTAGCCGCAGAGCAGTGTAGATTGCAACACCACTATAATGACTCTGAGTGGTGCAGAGAAAGAACAAAAGAAACTCTCATCAACAAGTCTTGGTCCCACCTCTGCGGGAAACAGCCCAGGACATATCGCAGATGCTAAAAGTTTGCGACAAGCACATGACAATTCCGTATGTGCTTTGCACTGTCATATTGGACGTGAAGCACTCATATGCTCAAAATTGTTAACATCTTTCGTAAATTGTTCGCGAAGATGCCTGACGAGGCTCTGTTCTGGAAGTTTGCTTGATTCGGCAGTACCTAGGTTGATCCCGTTAGCGCCCGCCGTGAGGCTCATGACATCCCAGACTTCCACGTTGCGTTTCGTTTCTCTAGATTTATCACAACGTTCACCATATTACAGGCCATGCTTAGTACATAAAGGATTGTTTGCAATCGTACTCACTTGAGTGTTTTCTGTATGTTGCCTGTGCGATGGAACACGGTTTTCGCGGAATGCGCTATGCGATTCTGCACTTGCCAACTTACTGTCATCTAACGCTCACCTACGTCACCTTTCTGACAAGCAACAGCTCCACCAACTCTCGCTTCGAAAAGTGTACACAGCCGAGTCCCCGAACCATTGCCCAGGTAATCTGTGCCACCTCTCACGCCACGCGACTGCTATCATGGCCGCTCTTGCGCCCGTTATCAGCAGCTTTTCGCTCATCTTCGGAGGGTGTTGCGCAAATGTAAGAGATTCAGAACTGCTATGATGCCATTACTAAAGTCTGAAAGGTGTATTGTCTGGAAGCAATAGTAAAGTAAACAACGTGTATTCCCTAGCAACAGCACGAAGTCTGACACAGCCCAGGCAAGAGCCTGACAGTGGTCTACTCATTACGCTCTTCCAATTCGTGTTTACATGTCTTTCGACATTGCATTACCAGTTCGATCCAAACGGTCGTTACTTCATGCGGAGTTCGCCCGTGCCATTTCGCAAATGGTGTGTCAGCGCTGCGTTGTTCTTCACCGTCAACATGCTGAACAACTGGGCTTTCGCATTCAACATCTCAGTCCCTGTTCACATCATCCTCAGAAGCTTTGGTAGTGTGACTACTATGGCGGCTGGCTGGTTCCGTGGCAAGAAATACACACCTCTCCAGGTCTTCTCCGTTGCGATCCTGACGCTAGGTGTCATGGTGTCAGCATGGGCAGATGCACAGTCAAAGGTACAGTAGAGCGATCAACGACTTATCTATAGACGCTGACCACGGAACTAGGGCAAGAACATGGATGCTTCGAGCTCCGATGAGTCGAATTCTTCTCTACAAGCTGGTCTTCTTATCCTGCTCATCGCGCAACTACTCTCCGCATGGATGGGCGCCTATGTCGAGGACGTCTATCATGAACATGGGAAGGACTGGCAGGCCAACCTCTTCTACTCCCACTTGCTGTCCATCCCGTTCTTTGCAGGATTTGCACCGGTCTTGACGCAACAATTCAAGCGCCTGCAGGCCTCGCAATCATTCGAAGTACCACCGAAAGTCGCAGAAAATCTCCCGCCAATCGTCAACAGTATCCTGGCCTCGACATCACAGCATGTCATCTATCTTACTGCCAATGCCCTTACGCAACTACTCTGCATCACCGGCGTCAATATGCTCAGCGCCAATACTTCCGCCGTCACTGTCACGATCGTACTGAATATCAGAAAGCTGGTAAGCTTCTTGCTCAGTATCTGGATATTCGGAAACCAGATGACTGGATTGATGAAAGTCGGCGCTGCCATGGTGTTTGGTGCGGGCGCTTTGTATGGATGGGAAACATCGTATCGCATTCCGCAGCAGAAGAAGTTGGAGGCCGAGAAGGGAAAGAAGGGCCAATGATTCCAGAGTGTTACCACTCGATCCGCCTTTTAGGGCGAGGCGAACACCTCAATCAAGGAGAAAATTGAACACTCCAAAGGCTACACAAGAGCTAGATCTCCCGAACTGCCTCTATCATCCTAGTGTAGTCTTTAGACCTGCTCGGTTTGTCCTTATATGAGGTGCGAACATGACTTTGTCTTGCTTGTTGGCAGCGTTTGCAAGGTTGCAATGAGATAGGCTACGGCGGTATCTCGGGAACATGTAGAGCATGCGAAGATCACGGAGATGCCAATGCCAAGAGCGTATAGACGAATATACTTGACCAGACTTCTGTTACCCCTCGCTGGGGGGCTGTGATGATGGTGGACCAATGACCGCTAATGCAGGGGCCAAGTGCAAGCGAGAGAGCCCATTAGGGATTGGCTCCTCCGGACCCTGAACTCGCGATTAGGTGTCGTGTTCTCAGAGCGCAACTCCAACTCTCTTTCCAATTCCATCAAATTCGTTCCTTTGTTTATGGGAGGTAGGCGCATCCTCGTAGCCCACAACGTGTTGCGGCATTGGAAGCTAATGACAGAGTCAACAGGTAGCTTCATCGAGCTATAGCCCACCATGTCTTCACCAGCTGGTAGCGTCCGCCAGCGCGCAGGCAAGGACAAGAAGCGAGGAACCTCACCGAACCCCGAAGCCCTCGCCGAGAAGGTCCAGGAGAAAGTCGCCAATGTCGTCGAGAAGGCCAAACCATACAAGCCGATCCAGCAGGGCGGAGAATGGGACTACAAGCTTGCTATCGCCGTAATGACCGTTCTGGCCTTCATTACGCGGTTCTGGGGCATCAGACATCCTGATCAGGTTGTGTTCGATGAGGTGCACTTTGGAAAGGTGTGTATGCCATTGAAGACAGAAAGAGACACGATGCACGTCCAGATCGCTAATCGCACATAGTTCGCTTCCTACTACCTGCAACGAACCTACTTCTTCGATGTCCATCCTCCCCTCGGAAAGCTCCTCTTTGCCTTCGCTGGCTGGCTCGTCGGATACAAGGGCGACTTCCTGTTCGAGAACATTGGCGATTCCTACATTACCAACAAGGTCCCGTATGTCGCATACCGCGCTATGCCCGCCTCGCTCGGTGCTCTTACCGTTCCCATCGTCTTCATGATCATGTGGGAGTCTGGCTACTCGCTACCCGCCTGCATCACTGCGGCCGGTCTCATGCTCTTCGACAACGCCCACATTGGCCAGACGCGCCTGATCCTCCTCGATGCTTCGCTTATTTTCTTCATGGCGCTCTCCGTACTATCCTACATCCGCTTCTACAAGGAGCGTCACAATGCTTTCGGGCGGAAATGGTGGAAGTGGCTCCTTCTGACTGGTATCAGTCTGAGCTGCGTTATCTCCATCAAGTACGTCGGTGTCTTCACCTTCTTCTCCATTGGTGTACCGGTCATGATTGACCTCTGGGACTTGATGGACGTCAACCGACGACAGGGTGCCTTGACTTTGGCCGAATTTGGCAAGCACTTTGCTGCTCGCGCCGTGGGCTTGGTCATCGTTCCATTCTTCCTTTACCTTTTCTGGTTCCAGGTCCACTTCTCCATCCTCACACGATCCGGCCCTGGTGACGACTTCATGACCCCAGAGTTCCAGGAGACTCTGAGCGACAATGTCATGAGCCTTCAATCTGTCGGTATCAACTACTATGATTCCATCACCATCCGTCACAAGGAGACCAAAGTCTACCTTCACAGCCACCCTGACCGCTATCCTCTGCGTTACGATGATGGACGTGTTTCTTCGCAGGGACAGCAGGTTACTGGATACCCCCACAACGACACCAACAACCACTGGCAGGTCCTTCCTTCAAAGCCCCTGGACAGTGAGATTGGTCAACGCGTTAAGGTCGGCGATGTCATTCGTCTTCGCCATTTGATCACGGACACCGTTCTTCTCACACACGATGTTGCTTCTCCTTACTACCCTACCAACCAGGAATTCACTACTGTTAACAAGGACGAAGCAACCGGTGCACGCTACAACGACACTCTCTTTGAGCTCAAGGTCGACAAAGGCAAGGGCGATTTCAAGACCATGTCTACTCACTTCAAGCTTGTTCACGTGCCAACCAAGGTCGCCATGTGGACCCACACCAAGCCTCTGCCAGATTGGGCCTACAAGCAGGCTGAAATCAACGGGAACAAGGCAGTCCAGCAATCCAGCAATGTCTGGTATGTCGATGACATTCCTTCGCTTCCCGTTGAAGATGAGCGCAACAAGAAGGAACCGAAGCAGGTCAAGCACCTCGGCTTCCTCAGGAAGTGGGTTGAGCTGCAGCGTGCCATGTTCTACCACAACAATGCCTTGACCAGCTCGCATCCTTATGCATCCCAGCCCATTTCCTGGCCTTTCCTCCTTCGCGGTGTGTCTTTCTGGACTCACAACGACACTCGCCAGCAGATCTACTTCCTGGGTAACCCCATTGGATGGTGGCTCGCTTCCTCGCTTCTTGCTGTGTTTGCCGGTATCATTGGTGCCGACCAGCTGGCTCTCCGCCGTGGCATGGATGCCCTCGATGAGCGTAAGTTACCTCTCTCGTACACGAAACCCAGGTTATTCGCTTTTGTATTGGCATTTGTATTTGAAGGGGAGGTTCTAACATTCATGTCTGCAGGCACTCGCTCCCGTCTTTACAACTCCACTGGATTCTTCTTCCTCACCTGGGCTGCCCATTACATCCCCTTCTACATCATGGGTCGTCAGCTCTTCTTGCATCACTACCTTCCCGCGCATCTTGCGTCTTGTCTAGTCACTGGTGCTCTGGTAGAATTCGTGTTCTGCATTGAACCCCAGGATCCTGAAATGCCCGCCGCTGTCAAGGGCCACCGCCGCACTCACTCGAAGCCTGTCCGCGAGCGTGTCGCCTCTTCTAGCCTGATGGGCAGCTGGATCGCCATGGGTGTCATCCTCGCCGCCGCCTTCTGGTGCTTCCTCTTCTTCGCACCGCTCACATATGGTAGCCCTGGCCTTACTGTTCCCCAGGTTCAGTCGAGGAAGTGGCTCGGATACGACCTCCACTTTGCCAAATAGATGGAGCATGAGTGAAGGATTCGCTTCGAATTGGGGTTGGGGAGTCTTCTATTGGATTAACTAGGGTAAAATGCACAGCGCGGAGTGCTGATTGTGTGGATTAGGGTCTTCTATATATTTTAGTGTGTTCTCTTTTGACGAGGCCGAGTAGAGGTTACGTCTTTGAGCACGCAAATATTTCCTATGTAATAGATATAAATATGGTGGTGAACAGTTTATGGTTCGGCCATCAATTCATGAGTTCACAGATCCATAACATTGCCTTTGTAGTGCATCTCTCATACTCTTGAAGGGCTTGGGCCAAATATGGTAGCATGCAACTAGAGATTTATAGTTGTGCTCATGCGAGCCAGTGTAGGAAAACATGATATCTACATCGTAGCGATTGGCTATGCATTCCCCATGATCTAAATGCCTCCATGCAGCTTCCAAACGCAGTCCATGCCCATCTCCACAGTGCGTGTGCCAAAGCAACAGCTATCGCCCAATTCACCTTCGTCCCATTCATGTTTACGCGGCGTCTCAACTTTCCGCTGCAAAAGCCAATCATCGTAACTCTCGTCCTCGTAACGTTCAATCTCTACTTTCTCCGTGATACCGACTCCGCTATCCTCCCGTTGCTCAAAACTCAAACTCGCCTCGAAAACGCTCAACATCCATACCGGGACCCACGATATCGGAAAGATCCCTACGGCCCATCTGGCCAAACACCCTCCGTAACGTATCGTACAAGTTTGTGCTTTGGTTCTGGTGGATCATGTTGTCTAGTTGGCTGTCGGAAACACCCTCGCCGACGACTTCTCTAGCCTTCTCCTTGCCTTCGCGCTCGACGACCTTGTGCATGGCTAGCGCGCCGAGCAAGTGCTGTGCAGCTTCTGTGTAGCAACCGATGTTGATACACGACACGCCGAGGTTGTAGCGTGCGCGGACAAAGTTTGGACGGAGAGCGAGGGCGCGCGAGTAAGCGTCGATGGCTTCTTCGCTGCGGCCGGAGTTTGCAAGGGTGGCGCCGAGACGGTTCCAGAGGAGGTGGACTTGTGATGAGGAGTTTGAGACGCCGGATTCGGTGGATGCGAGGGCGGCGCCGAAACAGTCGACGGCTTTGTCGTATTCTTCTACGCCGTAGAAAAGTACGCCTAGGCCGACTTGCACATCAGGGTCCATTTGCTCGCCGGTTGGCGAGAGTTGTGCGGCTTGGATGAAGAGGTTGGTGACTTTCTCGTGGAGTACGTGGCGGTCTGTGAAGCCCATCTCGGCGTCTGAAGAGAGTGGCTCTTTGATGAGTGATGGGTACTTGGTGGCCAACCAGCGTTCCAGTGTCCGGTATGCGGTGCTCTCGTAGCCTTCGTTGGTGTATGATACAGCCAGACCCATCAGCGCCTCCAGATTCGACGGGTCCTGCTTCAGAGCATGTTCCAACGCTCTTATAGCCGGTGTTTCCTTCTCGTTCTGCGCTTGTGACTCTCCCAACCTTACCCAGGCTGCAATGTGGTTCGGGTCTTTCTGAACAGCTGCCTCAAATGCTAGGGCCGCCAGTGAGAGGTTTCCACCATCTTCCATTATCTTGACACCTTCTTCAAACGGATTCGTGACGTTCTTGAAGAGGTTTTCTTGCTCGAACAGGTAGTCGCCCATGGCCGGATCGCGGACCGAGTGTGTGTTGAGCCCGTCGAAGCCTTCCCATTGATCCATGTCGCCCATGTGTCCTTCGACGAAGTTCTCCTCGTTGGCAAGTTGCCTAGCGTATTCAGTCTCAGCTTGGATACCCTTCCAAATGGACTCGAAATCGTCGAAATCAACGGCATCTTTCTCTACTGACCTGTCCATTTCGTTCAGCTCTGCCTCCATGGCCTTGTTCGCCTCGGCGTCAAGAGCGCTCAGGTCCTGCTGGTCTGTCTGTTCGAGTTGTGCGAACTGGGCCTCCCAATCCT